ATTGTAATTCACCTTTGTTATTGTATTTTTCAACGTTAATAGCACCAGCTAAAGACATTTCTGTTTCTTTGTAGTAAAATTTTTTTTTAGTACAATAGAATTTTTTATTTGATTTTACTTTCATTATTTTTTTTTTAGTAAACACTCCTTTGTTTTATAGTTTAACTAAATAAAGAAATTCATTATCAACTACGTAGATAAGAAAGATAAAATAAAGCCATTTTATTTTAAAAAAAAATAAATTGTATTTATATATTTTTTACAGATTTAGTAAATTCATACAAATGATAATTGATTTACTGATTTGATATGATTGTGATTGATTTATTGATTTAGTAAAATCATACTGATTATTAATAAAGCCAGAAAAGGAACTTACAGAAAGTTCTAATTTCTTATCTTTTGATCGAAACAAAAAAAAAAAAATTCACTTAAAAGTTTATTTATTGATTTAGTAAAATCATACAGATTATCAATAAAGCCAGAAAAGGAACTTACAGAAAGTTCTAATTTCTTATCTTTTGATCAACATAAAAAAATTCACACAGATTTTAATAAAGTCAGAAAAGAAACTTACAGAAAACTTTTGAACCAATAATATATTCACTCCTTTGTTTTATAGTTTAACTAAATAAAGAAATTCGTTATCAACTATAAATTGATTTATTGATTTGATAAAATTTCTTATCTTTTGATTGAAACAAAAAAATTCACACAGTTATCTAATAAAGCCAGAAAAGGAACTTACAGAAAGTTTTAAATTTTATCTTTTGATCGAAACAAAAAAATTCACATAATGAGAAAGTTCTTTTAACAAATCAAACCATAAAAGAAATTTTCATACAAATTTATTTTTTGGCAAAACTGCGTATTTATTTTAAAACAAATTTAGCCATAAAAGGCAATAGCACACAAATATTTCGAGAAAGTTCTTTCTGAAAAGAAATAAAAGAGCGATCTATTTTTCTTCGTAGCGATTGCGTTTAATCACTAAAGTAAAATTTACAAACAAATTTCTTTTCAAAATGTTTCCAAAAATCTTTGTTTTCTTCTTTTTTTTCTGTGTTATCTTTGGTTTGTTTCTTACAAACCTTTTTGAAGGTGAATATCAAATTGATATTCACCAAGTTTTTAATAAAATACTTTCATCAAAAATACTCTTTTGGTTTTTGGTAGTTACTATTTATTTAGTAACTACAAGTTTAATTATCGCTTTATATTCTTTTTGGTTCTGGAATTCATTAATAAGAACTTTTCCAGAACATTTTATATATTAAACGAAAATAAACTATTTTGAATGTAAAAAAGACCTTGGAAATTGCTATGATAAAGAAATTTACGGTTTCTTCGAATTAAAGAAGAAACAAACATCTTCATATTTGACGAGAAAAACTTCCTCAATAAATACGAATGGAAAGATTGTGATTTGGATTCCAGTACAATGAAACAAATTTATTTCCCCTTCTTGAAAAAGTCTTTCTCAACCGACAAGCCAAGACTCCAAATATATTCCTAAAGCATCTAACCGAAGAATTGGTATGGAATTGTTGGAAAAAGTACTTTTCCACCAACAAAATTGAAGTTTATATAAGTATTGTCAGACTCTTCTTCAAGGATGAAGAATTAGATCTTTGGAAACCGTAACGTATCTTAAAAAAATAAGAATTTAATCGCCTTTAAAGATTTTTCTGGACGAAGAAATTTACAAGAATAACAAACGAAAATTTTAATTTGTCGACATTTGGTTAAACGAATTGAACGAGAAAGAACATTTGGTTTTAGCTTCTTATTGAAGCTGACAAATTTGATACAATTTGTCTTCAAAATCGGTGACTCCGAAGAAACGTCGATAAATTGAATTCTTGAAAAATATCTCTTTTGAGAATTTGAAGGGTAAATTAATTCGTTGGTATCGATCCTGTCAAATTACTGGAGAAGATTTTATTGTTCCCTTATCATCAATCACGGAGTTTTACAAAAATTGCAACTGAATATAAAATATTTGAGAAAAGCAATCGATGAGAAAATTTTTAAAGAACTGCTATAGATAATTTATTAGCATTCTTAAAAATAAGAATTTGGTCAGGTTAAAAGATTTTCTAGCTAGGATGAACTTGATTTTGAATTCAAACAAATTACTTTTTTAACAATTAGAAATCATTTTTTTTTTTTAAATTCGAATCTCAATTTTTCCTCTACTTCTAAATAATTTATATTAATGTAGAAATTGTTCGAGATTTATATTCTGAAACAGATTGTTCTACAAAATTTCTATTTGAACTTGAAATTAGTTTATTTTGTTAAAGAATTTTTTCAAATATTTGTCTTCTTCACTGACAAGCCAAACGTCAGTTTAGTAATTGTTTAAAATAAAAGTTTTTAATCTTAATTTGAATAAAAATAATAAAGTTTTTCTTTATACAATCAAAAAAACAGTTTTTTAATTTATTTAAATATAAATTTTATTTTATTAATATTAATAAACATAAAAAAAAAAAAATATTTTTTTTTTTTGCTAAATAAAAATCAATTATCCTCTAATTTGATAATTACATTAAGGGCTTTGTTAATACATTTTTCTAATTCATATTGTTTAAGACTACTAGATTTTATATAATTATAAATAGCATATCTTTTTTGTTCAGAAATTAATGCATAAATTTTTTTTTCATTATAATAAACTTCATATTTTTTAGGGTGGTTAAGTAAAAAATAATGAGTTCTTCGAAAAGGATTTTTAATTCGGGTTGTTCCGTTTTCATTTAATTCTATGATTTTAATACCTTCAGGAATATCACATTCTGTAATCAGATCATTATCAAGAAAATAAAAAATTGCTTGATTGTCATCTTCTTGTTCGACTTTAATCAAAAATGTAACATGATCAAATCCTTGAACATTTCTATTTTTCTCTTCGCAAATAAAACTTAAGACACCAGCATATGACATATTTCTAAAAAAAAAAAAAATAATAAATATTTTTTTAATATTTTTTTTTTATTAATAAAAAACAAAATTAATTACATACTCATTTAAGAAAGAAAGAAAACGTTGAGAAAAATCTAACGAATTCATTTTTATTCTGATTATTTTTTATGCAGATTTTTTATATTAGTAAAGTAAAAAATCGATATTTTTATAGTTTATTGATCTTTAGTTCTAAATCAGAATTTTACGGATTTGGACTGATAAACCTTTTAAGGAAAAATTAATATCGGAGATATAATCCGATTGAAAAAGATATAAAATTAGATTAACTGCAATAATATGCATGTAACTTTAAAATGGATTTTGTATATGAAACAAAGGAATCTATTCTTAGCGAACTATTCAACAAAAAAACCTTAAAACGAAAACACAAATTGAAGAAGAATAGAAAACTTGTAAAGTACAAAGAACTTTACGAAAATTATAAAAAACTTTATTTAAAAGAGAAGTAACAGAATGAAGAATATGTTTCTTTCTTGAATGATGTTCGTGATTATTTCAGAAAATCCTGGTATACTTTTCTTAACGATTGTGAAGAAGCAAAACAATTCAACGATTATTCAAGGTATCTTGTGAATGATATCTTAAAAGAAGATCAAGTCGATAACGAAGAAGTTATCGACTTAACAAATAAAGAAGGTGTTATTGACAAAGTTGGTGAGAAAGAAGAAGGAGATTTTGATTACTATTTTAAGCTTGATAAGAATAATACGGGTTTATTCGACAATTGTTTTATGCATAACGATTTATTATCAGTGTAATTTATTGGCATATTTTGCATATTTATTTTTGGAAATTTTATTATTATCAGTTGTATCAGTTATATTTATATTGAATAAAGTAAATATCGCAGTTAATTTTTGTCTATAAAAAATGTATGAAATTCCTCGTCTTTTTTCTCTTCACGAATTCATTCGTTTACTAACTTACAAATAAAACAAAAAAAAAATGTTTCCAAAAATCCTTGTAATTTTCATTTTTCTTTGTATTATCTTTGGTTTGTTTCTTACAAACCTTTTCGAAGGTGAATATCAGAATGATATTTACCAATATTTAAACAAAATACTTTCGTCAAAAATATTCTTTTTCATATGTGCGATAGTTATTTATTTTACAACTATCGCTTTATATTCTTTTTGGTTTTGGGATTCATTAATAAGAAAATTTCCTGAACATTTTATATATTAGAATTATGAGAATTGAAATATTTTATTGTTAAAATTGTTTCATTTATTTACAAATTTATTTACATGTAATAATTAGAACTAAAATCCCAGAACTCCTCTTTATCTATAACTCTTCCGTTTCTTGCATATTGGCTCACAATTATATCTTTAAAATTATCATTTTGAACAATTTTATATGAGCCTTCCATTTTCCATTTAATATTCAAATCTGTTGATCGTCGAACTCGAATTGGAATTTTATCAACTTTTAATCCCCTTCGAATTGCCTCTTGGAATACATAAAGCCGACGATTATCCGAAGAGAAAATCATATCATCGATAATACAGACTTGAATATGCGGGAAATCTTCGATTCGAATACTATCATTAACAAGCTCAATAATGGTTTCTTCTATGTTTCTGCTGTTTCGAAAAGATGAGTTAATTGTCGATTGACTGAATAAAATTTTAAAAGGGTTCATCGTTGTGGTATAATCTCCATCAGCCAGCCGCAATTTTAATATAAAGATTTTTATTCGGAGAAGTAGAAGACCTCCGAGAATCCATACAAAAATAAATGAAAAAGGAGCCAGAATAATCATTAGAATTAACAAAGTTAATTCTATTTGGTATTTTATGTTTGATTTAACAAGCGTATCTTGAGAAGAATCATTTGATCGATTCTCCTCTACGGTTTGGTTACTGTTACTATTTGAAGAATTTTCTTCTTCGAATTTTTTGAATTCTTCTGAATCGACCGTATAGGTGGGTCGATCATCATTCCAGGATTTTTCATCATTTTGGGGTGTATCATTCCAATGGGAGTTTATTTCATCATCCCATTGATGTGATATTTCATTGCTTTCAGGTTCGAAAGCAACTTGTTCTTTGTAAATAATTAGTTTTTTTTCATTTCTTTGTTTCTTGTTAAAAAGTTTTTTGAAGAAAGATATTTTTAAATTATAATGATTTTATTAAGTAGTAAATTTTTATTAAGTTGTAATTGAGAAAGTTAGTTTGTTATGTAAAAAAATTGTCGTTTAAATAAAGTTTTTTTAATTTAATATTGTTAATGAAAGTAATTGATAAACTAATATTTCCAAGTTTGGTAAAGATAAAAAATTACGTATCACCAAGTGTAAGTCAACAAATAGATGAAAGTGCCATATAATCATTTGCTTTTATCATTTCTTTTTTTACTTTACGCATTTGTTCGTACATTTTTTCAAGTTGTTCTTTTGATTTTAAATCCATTTTTGTAATAAACAGGTATTTTAATTAAATTTAAAATATAAACAGGTTCTTATATAGAAA